GGGTAGCATTTATAATTCCCACAGCAAAATGTTGCACTGACACTGCAAAAAGTGTTGAATGTAAAGCATATGTTTGGAGTTTGTTGCCTTTTAAACTAAAACGATGCATTATAGGGAAAAAGTCGGGAATTATTTCTGTCAAATTGTTGTGACTCATTTCAGTTTTGATCCTAAGTTCTAAGGAGAGAACTAACCACTGAAAAGTTGAGACACCTCAGATGAAGATATTTATCCGGCCTTTCTCTCTATTATATAGTGTGATGATGTTAAGAGTTTTGTAGCCCTGCTGCTTGTCGGCAACAGCTTACTCTATCTAACTTACACGCTAGGCCTCAACACGGACCTCAGTACCCAGAACTCCTAGAATAAATAGAGAAGATCGACCCCTTTTCTAAATATATTCACTGTCATCACTCACGCTGTTATGACGTTATACGCCCATTCAGTGTGGAAACTGTTTCCCCATTTCTTCCCTATCTCAACCCCACCCTCGCTGCCGAGTCTTCGGCAGTGCTTACTCCCATTCCCCCTTTTTTCGTCTAAACACGAGAGAGGGGCAAGGTGGTGTATTCACACAGATGGCTTGCATGAAGAACGCCAAACAACTAACAGCTACCTGGCCTCTCAAACCTAGTGCCTAGTGCAATATAGACCATATGAAAAAGATATATCATTGAAATATGACAATATGGCAGGAGATACAAAAAACAACAGTTGACCAAGTAAGACAAGATGAAAAGTATAGAGTGATAGAGCAGGAAAATATATGCTGCATGAATCTGAATGAAAAAGAAAACGTATGCATATTATTTGATAAATGAGAGTTAATTGCACAACAAAGTATAGACAGAAAATATGACTGTGTTCTACCAGAGAAACATATTTCTTGTTATGAGTCTTTGACAGTATGAATCTGGTTTCTGTGGTGATGAGGAAGTGATAAGGAAAATGCAGGATAAAGTACATTTCCATCCTTCTCCACCTGTAGATAACATCTCTGGCTTGATATGTTTACTTCTTTTTCAATACACTTGTTCATCCCGTTAACTTGGCAGCTCAGTTTTAACAAAGTGACAAGACCAAAATAGAAACTTTCAAACCAGTAACAGGCAGGGGCCTGTTTGCATTCCTTTTTGTATTGCTACTTCTTATATCAAGAGACATGAGAGAACTTGAACTTTGTTAGCTGTCATCTTTAAATTTGTGTCTCACACATCACCTATATTTAAGCATAATAAAGTGTAAAGAACTTACGACAGAGTCTTTCATACAATAGGTACTGACAGGTGAAAGTGTGCATTTAAAGGGCGGGACCAGATATACATGAAGAAACATGTGGAGCCAAGTATACACGAAGAAACAAACTGACGATGACTAAGAACACGCACATGTTTGTGCAAAACCATAATGCTCCAGTCAAATACTGAGACCATAGTTTCAAAACAGAGCTGTCAAAATACTATAATTAGTGGCTCATGAAATATTTTGAGGTGGGATGTATTGTACAACGATAATAAACACACAGCTGCCACAAATAGCATGAAGGAATGCCTGGAATCAACATGAAATTCAGTTTCTATTTTGAACCTTTGAAAACTTCCCAGACTCTGAAGCCACTCAGTGATCTTTGCGCTCTCAGCAACATAATACCTTCTAAAACATCTGAAATGATCTGCTGCCTCGCACGCAAAAGCTTTGTGTTTGTAGAGAGAGAGAGAGAGAGAGAGAGAGAGAGCGAGAGAGAGAGAGAGAGAGAGAGAGAGAGAGAGAGACTCAGAAGCCTTGAGTAGGTGTTATGCAAACTAAATCCTCTTCAGGTTGACATCTTTACAGGGTTATTTTTAGACACTTTGTGGAATCTGCTGCAACAGTTTACATCACTGAAATGCTCAGCGGGGTTTGGATATTTTTCTCAGACACTAGAAAAAGGGTCATAATCGGTCACTCGGCTCTGTTTTATTTACATTAACTTATTATTGGAGACTTGTGTATATCCTCAACATAATGTACACTCGAAAAGCTAAATATATTGCGTGAGTTTTGAAGGCTTCCTCTTCACTGGCTCATCTCATACAGTGCATCATAGTCTTAACACCCGTTGTCAACTAAGAATATTTACTCCTTTCTCGTGCCCTCCAACAAATGACTGGAAAACAATTTCCCTTCACAAACATCTGAGACAGAGGGAACGTATTAGAACTAATGGACTTGAGCTACGGCTGGGCCCGATCACCTTCCAGAAATCAAAGTCCTGTTGAGCTTTCAAAAATGTGGAATAATCAACAACTGCAGGATCCAATATATTGTGCACTACATACATTGAACTGTAAGTGAGTTGTCTGCTGTATGTGTGTCTGCAGTAGTGCTTTGTATTCATTAATCTGTCCATGCAAGCTATTCTGTTGGCATCAGTTTGTGATTCTTAAATGTTTATGAACTGAGCACTGTGCCAACGAATCCCCGAATGAATTAGCAACAATAAGGGTGTTAGTCCCTGATGTGACGTCTGACTACGGGCTTCACAGTGATCCTCATTTCAACACATCAACACATCATACCTGAAGGCCAGAGTCAGAGCTGCAGCGACAGGACACGGCACCCAAATGGACATTGGCATCTGAAATGTGTTGATCAGTTCAGATGTGACAAAAAATATGGAGCGTTAAAGGACAGAGTGCTGCTCAGAGTTTACTGTCATTATTTAATTACGACATTGTTCATACTGTACTTTGAAAGTTTTCAATTGTCATGGCTTATAGGTGTGTGCTTTAAAACTGAGTTATTGAAAACTGAAAGATGTTATCTGATCTAGTGTCTGCAGAATGCCACCACACTGTTACCTAATGCGCTCGTAAATGTCACCACATGGTCTTGACAGAGAGTCAGAGAATGATTAATACAAAAAGAACCTCTAGTTTAAATGATTAATGGCAGTGAGTCATTGTCTGAGGAAAATGTGACACATATCTCAGTGGCGCAATTTCTTTATTTTTTTTTAAATCTATTGTCTCAGATGAATATGCCTGCCAAGCTTATGAGCTTCCATAAATATCCTTGTATGCAGTACTTGTATAGCCTCTATAGTATACTATGTTTGTAGAAAGTAAAGCCAGTTAAACGAGCTGATTCACTGTGTTTGTTGTAAAAAGATACAACGTGACAAAAGGGGAAATATAATCATTAAACAACTACCACTGTATTACAAAGGGCTTGTAAGTTGTTTAATGATTAATACATTATTTACTAATGCTTTATAGATAAGAACCCATTTTTGGTTGCCAAAACTGCATTATTGTTATCGTTTTTGTTTTACTTTTAACATTTATAAATGTTGGTGATCCATTAATTAATGGGTTTCTCCCTTTCTAATAAGCCATAAATTCAGTAGATAACAATGTTAATGAGAGAGAAAAATAATAAGCATCAAGTCTGCAGCTGTAAGTGTTCATAAAATGTTAATAAAAAGGTTTATGATCTACGTTGTTTGCGTCTCCTTTCTAGAAATAAGTGACATTAGTAAATTATACAAAATTCTCATGAAGCCAGTAGTCACTTATAACTCCTTTTCTAAAAGGTGCCTTATAAAAAGGGGGCCTTTGGCAGCATATGAGTTGCACATATTGCTCTGTGGTTCCACCTGTACAGCTGTTATTAAGTAGATCCTGATGTATTCAAGAACACACTACGGCCTCACAAGCTGCTACACGCAGTGACCAGAATGAATACGAGGTATTTGAGCTCTTGTCATTGTGTGGTTAGCTTACAGGAATCCATCTTTCAAATGCCACCTTTCAAAATAGTGACTTCACCCTGGATTGGGAGTCACAGACAACACAAACAGATTATCTGAAAATCAAAACATCCACACCAGCACAAACATGTGCAGCTTACATGTGAAATATAGCACCTTGACACATACAGTTTGCATAAACAAAAGCTAAACCACCAGTCCCAGTAACAGCATATCAGCAGCTGGTGTGATGTCAACATTGGTCTCCAGTTGATGTATGAGGTTATTATTTTTGCATTTACCAATTTGGTGACAGTGTTGCAGCACAACCAATAAACCCAGTGACACAGGAATTAATTTCACCAATTATACAGGTTGTCGAGTTCAACATATGACTGCCGGATTAACCTGAGGGAGTGAGTGGGAGGAGAAGGTATCCGGGGTGTGGAGCGGCAGTAAATGATAATGAAAGACCGACATTAGCTATCAGAGGCATGATATACAGTCTATTCAATGGGTCTGTTCACCTGTCGGCATTGTTGTCATAATTGCACTGTCTCCTTGGAATCGCATCACAAGTGACAGCCCCTGTTCCATCCAAAACCTCAAGGCGGTTCATCCCTAAAGAAAATAAATCACAATAAGTCATTTCCTATAGGTGAATCCATCTTGGCACTGAGCAACAGGAGGGACCAGCTGTTTGTTTTAGGAGAGATAAATAGAGTAACAATGGTTTCTATGTGGGCCGTTAAACATCTGAAGGGCACTTAAGTGGAATTCTTTGGTGTGTCTACAACCTTCAGGCACATGGAGCATCTTTTCTCACAGATTTGTTTAAATATCACTCGGTTTGAGTTTAATTTGGATGCAAAGAATTTCATCTATGAAAGGACAGATCATACTAGTATTGCCTGAAATTCTACCTGCAGGCGCCACACCTGTAAATACAAAGGCAACATATGCCACCTGGTTGTCTCAGGTGAAATAGTCCCTATGTGTCTGACTGATCCCATTTCACAGGTGAGAAAGAAATAATAAAGCTGCGCTGAATAGTGTTTTCAGTGGACATCATCATTGCTAAATATTATATTAGAGGCTCATGATGAAACTTTTATTATGATCTTACAGACTATCATGCTCGCAGTGTGAAGATGTTTTGTGAAGCTCCAAATGTTTTGAAATAATTTAACTCCGCCCTCTTGGGTTGGCCTTGAGGTGAGCCGCATATAAACAGCTGCTCGCGCAGAAGGTGAGACTGGCTACAGTGCTGTGGCAGGTATGACAGCTACACAGGACTTCACTGGATTCACTTCAAAGCATTGCGCTTCTTGACGCACACAAGATCCGGACTTTACGCGGAGAGCATATTGGAAAGGTTTAATACAAAGAGGACAATTGTTCAAAGAACATGAAGTTAGAGGTGTTGTGTGGAAGCCACTATGGCATGAAGCATTTAGAGATGTCTAGTGATGCAGAGGGGAGTGCGCGCTCTCCTCTTTCTGCTGAGGAGGAGCTGGGGTCGGATGGGGACTGCGTGGCTTCCAGCCCTCCACCTGTTACTCCATGCACCAGCACCAAGTCCAAGCCGTACACACGGAGATCCAAACCCCCGTTTTCCTACATCGCTCTCATCGCCATGGCTCTCCGGGACTCCATCTCTGGACGTCTGACTTTGGCGGAAATAAACGACTACCTGATGAAAAGGTTTCCGTTCTTCAGAGGAAGCTACACCGGCTGGAGAAACTCGGTTCGGCACAACTTGTCTCTGAATGACTGCTTTCTCAAAGTGCTGCGGGACCCGTCCAGACCTTGGGGAAAGGACAATTACTGGATTCTCAACCCTCACAGCGAGTACACCTTTGCTGACGGAGTGTTCAGGCGCAGAAGAAAACGCATCGATAAAAAGTTCAGCAGGGAGCCAAAGGTGTCCGAGCTCACAGAGGAGCCGCAGAGCATTCAGCGGTCTGCATCCGCCACCAACACGGATTCATGTGTCAAGTTTACTAGTTCATTTGCGATAGACAGCATCCTCAGCAAGCCGTTCAAGAGGGACTCAAACAGAGAACACTTACCACTCCACCCTGCCTTCACCTGGCCGCGCTACACTGAAATAATGATGCCTCATTTAAATACACCTGCCTCATTTCCATACTTCAAGCCAGCCTGCTATGTGGACTCTTATGCTGCGCCTGTGTTAAACGCCTATTTCATTTGATGATAAAAAATCATCATTGTTCACTGACGATGGACACAGACGAGAATTGAAAATGTTTTGGACTTTATTGTGGTGGCAAGGTGTTACCCTTATTTGTGTACCTCTTAATTAAAGCATTATAAGATTTGATATTTGATACACAATTATTTGTTGAAAATGTTCCTGAACTGACCATTAACGTTGTTTGGAAAACGTGTTAAGAAATATGCACTTTGACTGTTTTTGTGTCTCTGTCTTTCAAAAACGAACGAAATAAAAATCTAACGATGGTCTGCGTTTTCTGATGTTGTGAAATTAAAACGTATAGTCATTGGTTCTTGTTGAGACAAATGGACAGACACATGAGACATCTACACCTGTTAAAATAGTTTTGAGGTCATGTGTTCGTGACTCCACCTTGGAACATTCTTAGAGAGCTCTATAAGGATTGGTTGTAAGTGCACTAAGGGCCTGATATATACACTAGCCTCCTCCTATTATGTAAAAGCCTCAAGCTTGCTGGCCTTTCCAGCCTATTATGTTGTACATATACAATATTTTGTATTAAAAGGTGAGAGATTTCTCCTGAATTGCTTAGGAAGAACAGCCAGTAACGGTGCATAATAATAATAGTAAACAAACTACAACAATAATGATGATGATAATATAATAAAATGAAATGAAATAAAGTAATCGTAATATGTTATTAGCTTATTATTAGTAGCCTAATCGTTTTTTGTATGATTTCCGATGCAAAAAGAAATTGCCTTACAAGTGTTTCTTTTTCAGTGTTCATGAAGTTCGCTGCATGCCGGAAAGGGGCATCCAATATTTATGTTTTCTGTCTGGCGCTGCAAATAGCTGTCGCCTCAGTCACCACACATGCGCAGGAAAGGCTTTGTCCAAATGATGCATCCTGAGCGACCTCAACTGGAATCCACAATAGGAAGAAATGTCTTCCAAGTAGGCCTATTCTTCTGAGGCTAGAAAGTAAATGTCCTTTTAGACTATAGCTGTGCATCCTGGACTCAGCGGGGCAGCAGGTTTGATGCTGATATTCTGGGTAGATTGTGTTGTGCTGGTGTGTGAATTTATAAAACGACTTTATTATACTGACTTGCTCTGTAATGACGCCTACATTTGCACAACTCTAAGTCTCAAAAATCCATTTCTAAACGTTTCACAATATATATATGAATAGGAAATGATCTGAATTGTTCCTTACAACTTTAGAGTTTCTGATCAATTCATTTCTCCAGGGATGTAAAACAGGCTCAAGGAGGTAAACCGACACGTGTGCGCTGTGTGTGGTACGTTGGCACGCTCTGATGGAAAAAGCATGCTTCCTCTCATGTCAGAGTCTAACCTTGAACAGATCCCAAACAAATGAACACTGCAGGACTATTTCTCTCATATACCTATACAAAATAAAACCGCCATCAGCCATCGTACTTGTTAAAAGGTACACGAGGACAAAATAAATCATTTGTCCAAATAGTTTCGCTTATACATCAGGGTTTGTCAGATTATCGTGCCGAATATGTGCCTGACAAATACATTCAGAGGTGTTTTGGAAAGTGAGTCGTGGGAGGAGATTTGTCTTACTCCACTGCCCCGCGTCCGGCTCCTAGTCTGGATCCTGGCCAGATGGGGAGGGAGTAGTTCCTGGCGATTTCTTGGAGGGATTTGGGGGGATAGAGGGGCAGAGAGAGATTTAAGAATTGATAGGTGGTCGGGTTGTGTTTGGCCGGTTGGATATGCGCAAGGAAAGTCGAGGAGATATATTTCCCCTCTCTTGTGGGATTATTGCCAGCCATGGACAGAGAGAGAAAGGAGGAACAGCGGATGGTGTTTCTTGATTGTCACGGTTATAAACGCGCAGAGCATCGCCAAGGGACACTGACCTTTTAATCATTAGCCTTTTTTTGAAATATAAGAAACGTTAGTTGCTCAACTGTTTGCGAGTCCCAACAGGGAAGAGATTCAAAAAAGAGGCGCAACCATGACGACCGAGACCCCCAAGCAACATTTGGATCCATCTAATCCTCGCTCCAGCCCAGCGGCCGCTGCTCCGAATGCAGCTCTGCTGAGCGCACAGCCAGTGATGGAGAGCGCGCACAATGCATCACCCAAATGGAAAAAGGGAAACTCCGGCTTGAGGCGTCCTGAAAAGCCTCCTTACTCATATATCGCCCTCATCGTCATGGCAATTCAAAGTTCGCCGACAAAAAGGCTAACTTTGAGTGAAATCTATCAGTTCCTGCAGGCCCACTTTCCTTTCTTCAGGGGATCATACCAGGGATGGAAAAACTCCGTCAGACACAACCTGTCCCTGAATGAGTGTTTTATAAAGCTGCCTAAGGGTCTCGGCAGACCTGGCAAAGGGCACTACTGGACCATCGACCCGAGTAGTGAGTTCATGTTCGAGGAGGGCTCATTTCGTCGCAGACCTCGGGGGTTCCGTAGGAAATGCCAAGCTATGAAGCCGATGTACAGGATGATGAATGGTATCGGGTTTGGTGCTTCCATGCTGCCGCAAAACTTTGATTTCCAACCACCTTCAGGCTCAATAGCTTGCCATAACAGCTACAACATAGACCTGATGGGCAACACAGTGCCAGCTGGCTTCGAGGGCCTCGGAGGAGGACATCACGTCTCACATATGTCATCAGGCTCCGGGTCATCGCACATGGCCGCGTGTCAGGTGGCCTCTAATGCGGACTATTGCCCCGACAGCAGCAGCAGCCCCCTGCAGTCCTCCCCAGCGATGGTAGGCACTTTGGACTGTCAGTCTCCTTATGCAAATGCAGCCTCACACTGGAGTTCACCTGGTGTATCTTCATACATCAAACAGCAGTCGCTGGCAACAAGCAGTCCCACTTCTTCTGCTCTGCATACGGGGATGTCATCGTACTCTCTGGATCAGGGCTATCTGCACCACAATGCACGAGATTCCTCAGAGATCTCAGGTATGGCGCTGCAACCATTTCTGATTCCTGATACATGTGCACCACGACGAGCCGTAAGCAATTGCATCAAAGTTCTGGTTACCTTAAACTACAGTGATGAGTTATTAACTAAACTTTGCGTAAAAGTCTCAAGACTTTCAGCTATCTCATAAATTGAACAGTATAATTAATAACAAATCTATAGAGCTTTGATTTTCAAAATGCATTTTTTATTAAATGAAGTTGCATTGGATAAAGTGATCGATAACATATAGCGATTCCGTTTGTGACCCAGGCGAACCGTTATGGAAATGCAGGAAGTAAAGCTAGAAAAATACCCTGACGAGCTTTAACTAATTAATTCATCAGATTGTAACGTTGCACAATTTAGACCTTTGCTTTTTCAGTTTCAATGTACACAATTTACTCTGCCCATGTAGCCTATTCGATTGAAATGTTTTACTATTCCATTGCATTCTCACTCAGGCTTTCTTTAAAGGCCTCTGTGATAGCGAAGGTCGTTCAAGTCGTTTACTTTTTTCATGTTGTTCATCATTGTTATTTGATGCACATAACAACAAACACTTTAACCACTTTCCATTACAAATGTTAGTGTGTAACTGATATAAGATAAGCCTTTATTGATCTTCAGATGGGAAAGTCAGGTGATGGCTTTTTAAGGTTGTTAATCCATTTTATTTAATTCATCCATCAAAAGCTACTAATAGGCTACTGTAAGCACTAATGTTAGGATGCCATGTTGTGAAAAATCTATCTGGCTGTTAAAGATCTTCCACAACATTATACGTGCTTTATATTTTCAGTTAATGTGGAAAGTCAGCCCTCTGAAAAAGGGCTGCACAGTATCTGTGCAAAACATTATTTTCAACCACTATTAATCAGCATTTGAAACTGAATATGACTTGATTACTGAAAACAGACAACACATCTATACCCGCAGACTATATTTTTATTAGAAATAAGAAATTCACAATCGTCTAATAATGAAGCATTTGCATTATTGACAAATAAGGATAAACATCAGCCACAATACTTTTTGCTGTCAACCAAAAAAATTGCTTTTATAATTCTCTTATAAATGATCTATGAAGCCTTAGTAAATTATTTGTAATCATAAATAAAGCCAGAACATAAAAGCGGCACCCGAATAGAAAGTGGTAGCCCACCAACATATTTCAGCAGGGCACATAATACAAACTCAGAGCCGTTTGAATAACAATAATCCAGATTATACAATTTCGAAAAAGGAAATGCTTTGACCTCATGTGTGATGTGTTTTGTTTTTCAGTAGGACTGTCTCGATACTCCAGCCACTCAGCTCCTGTGTGTGACAGGAAGGACTTCGTTTTGAACCTAAATGGAATCTCTTCCCTCCACCCCAGCACCGGCGGATCGTACTATCACCAGCTCCATCACCACCACCAAAGTGTCTATCAGGACGTAAAGCCATGTGTCATGTGACATGACAACAAAGACAGAACTGCCTAGAACTTTTCTGCTAAATGTAACCCCCGGGTGGAATTATTTTAATTGAATCTTTTGGTGACTTTTGTTGAAAATGGCAATTTTATTCCAGTAAAGTTTGACTTTTTTAAACTGTTTAATAGCTTAATGGTTATGATGAGAGGACTTGTTTTGCCACTCTCGTAACTAGCTTTACACATATGAAGAAGCAATATCAACAGTTTTACTGAAAAAAAAAAATACGTATACGTACCTGAATTGTTCTTTATTCATGCACTTAATTTTGTGTTCCTGAAGTTGCTGAGATTGTTGCTGATTTTTTTGCAGCAGGCCATTAAAGAGATTTATTTTTTAAGGATAATTTGGAAGTGTTTTTAGCAATAAAAGTTTTTTTTATACACAGCGTTTTTCTTTTTCTCGGCACTGCAGTTCTTTCCTTGTATATTAGTATTGTTATAATTATATAACCAAGTTATAAATAAAGAGTGCAGTTGTGATCGATTTCCATTGACCCTCAGGGTTGGGTTTGATTTAGTTATTTGATTACCTTAATGGCTATTTTATTTTATTTTGCTTTCAGAAAAATCAGCAGGTCCTCTTCAGAGGCACTGTCACCCCATTGAGCACCATCACGTGGTTATCATCAGTTTATTATATGAACCAGGATAAGGTGTAGTTTTTATTAACACATTTTTGTAATGAAAAGACGAGATTGAAATTATTGATGAGAAAGTAATCCTTCTTTGATTCAGTTCACACGCGGAGAATAATTGAAATGTAATGTACGTCTCAAGAAGCCTGCCTATGTTGTCATTATGTAATGATTGTTATTAGATTAATTACTAAAGAGAAAGGAAGAAGGCAAAAGGCACATTTTATACACACCTCTGACCTGGATACTGAGCTAAAACCCCATCCTTCTTGTTGCGTCCTGTTGGTTTCCACGTGACTCTACCGCCACCTCGTGGTGATAGAAAGTTGAAGTGCTCAAATTATATTTCAATCATACGTTATGGCAAAATGCGTTTGCATATCTTCATGCTGCTAACGAAATGAAAGCGTCATGCAGAATAGTCAGTCGACAGGTTTCAGTTTGATTTGATGAATCCAGTTCTGACTGGATTGCCAAATCTTTCCAGCTTAATCTGATCAAAGAAGTCGACATTTCATCGTCAAAGAATGTTTGCACACAAATATGCTTTCAGTATAAAGAAAATGGTTGTTAGACTAACACACACACACACACACACACATGCAAATCCATTACACACTATTTGTTCAGAATATATCACAGTCTTTTCATTTGATCATGCTGTAGGCAGCATGGCAGATATCAAACATCAGATGCAAAGCTGTGTTTTGAACCCCAAATCTGGTCATTTCATAAGTCTAATATTGAGTCCGGGTCTGAGAGACATTGGTATGTAACCATAGAAATAATGTAATTTATGTTGAACAATGCTGCACAGATTAGAATGACAAGCGTCACTTCCCATAACCAGCTTTTAAGAGTGAATGCACACACAGTTGTTGTTATATTAAAAGAATAAGAGCTGATTCATGTCTCTGCTGTCCATGGTGCTGAAGAGAATCAGTGATACATTTTAGCTCCATGGTATATGTATTGAAATACATACACCAAAATAGTAAATCAAAATTGATAAATTGTTACACTGACTGCATCACTTTTACGATCAACTTTCAGAGCTTTTAGCTTGCTGCATTTGTTTGTAATACTTTGGAAGTTAGTTTAAGTGAGCGAATATCTCAGATGTTTCATGAATTAAGCACTGAATGCAGTGTCTGTCATTAAATTAACATTTGCGTGATAGACTTCTGTCGGGAACTGGAAGAAGTAGAACATGGGGCTTTTATGGTGAGACGATACTTCATTGAGTTGTATTACTTGATACAATGTATCACAGTGGCTGCATTCTATGATATATGTAATGTTACAAACAATTGCAACACCTCTTCAGTGAGTTGTTCATTGGGGGAAATGGTTACTGTCCCTTCAATGTCTGTAAGGATATTCAACCACAATTCTTGAATTTGTTTTACATTTAATGTGATATTTTGCAATTAATCTGAGTCATGTTTCAAAAGAAAAATAAAGACTGCACACATGTTCATAAACCCAAATCAGTTATGGATTGTAACGTTTCTGTTTTTGATGTTTCTATCTTAAAAACATAAAGTAAAATGACAAAATATTTAGCTTGTATTGTTTGACCCAACCCCCGCTGTACTAATGGCTGGTTATGCTTTGTACTTTCTCCGTCCTGCTAGGATTTTTACCCCATGATCTTCATGTTCATGAGAGATATTCTTCTTCCAAATTATTTTCAACATATGTATAACCATGCAGAAAAAAAGGATCAGGCTGAATCTGTAGAAAATGTATCCAAAGGCAGAAAAAAAAAAAGACAACATGTCAAAAATTATTTTAACTTTGAAACTGCATCATGCAGACGGAAGTAATTCAATGCATAGTCATAATATCGAAAGATACAACTCATCTTTATAACCATTATCATCCAAACTCCACATGCAGAGACATTTGCAGCTCGAATATCCCTGTCAGTGCTGCTGACTTTAGACTTTAGAAGATGTGATAGTTGTGGGTTTTGCTCTTATTTTGTATTGAAAAATTATATTTATATTTTGTGTCAGCATTCAACCAAGAAACAAATAGCAATGTTCTTGTGTGACCAATGAAGCCTTCTGCTTCCAACTACTGGACTGATATCACATGTTTAGTGCTAAAGAGTTAGTGTCCGTCACACAAAGCATCCCATTAAGAAAGCACTGCTCTCAATGTATGTCCCATTCTTCATGTAAATAATGCCCTTGCTGAAAAAAAAAAGAAAAACTGCATGGACAATGGAAAAAAAACATTAGAAAAGCCAAATGAGATTGATATGATATTTGAAGTATAGGCCAAAATTGCCAGAGGATGATGGGGAGAGAAGTTTGCAACTGTAAATGAGTTGAGAGATGTGCACTACATGACCTGTGTGGTGCAATAACCCACTTCATTTAAGATGTTTCTGTAAAGAGTGATAAAGGGATCCTGGCGGGGCCGTGTCAGACCTGCTGTTTAGTTGTTTTCACTATTGCATGGAGAGTAATATTTGTCTTTCCATTTAGAATATGTTATTCTATATGTTGAAAAGTGTTACATTACAGTAAGATAAAGCGCATATACAAAGTCTTCTACAAAATCTGCACACCATGACCCGAGAAGAGATATGTGCCCATGTAGTACACTATAGGAATACTAAAATGGCCTGTGGGTAAAAAAAACACAAAAGTCTGCAGTAAAAATGTTCTTATAACAATGCTTAAGCAGTGCAACTCTATAAGCATTTCAACTTACTGACAGCAGGTTATAGTGCACACTGTGAGCATTATGTTTGAGGTGTGTATCTACCTCATAGTGTTCTGAGTAGCACGTCTTACTATTCAAGGTCATAGTTTTCTCTTAACTCCCTTCTTAATTAATGACCCATTGTGTCCCGTCAAGTCATGAGGCCCTTAAACTGAATCCAGACTGTAGTATAAACATACACCACGAGGTGGCAGCAGCGTTTTATTAATGTTCTAATACTCTCTACTGCTAGAGGCTCCATATGGTAACGCCACACACACACACACACACACACACACACACACACACACACACACACGCTTACTCATTCTGACAAAAGGTTAAATTGTCTTTGCCATGGAGCAAATGAGATGAAGCAATCACTTCTAAAAATTGAACCTTTTCCGAAATTAATCTCACAAAAAACAACCAGGTAATAGCTGACTAGTGAAATTAATCTCAGCAGTATTTAAGAATGCATATATTTCATGTTCTAGGCCAACATCAATGAAAACAGATGGGTCTGGTTTAGTGATATTCTTCAACTGAATTGGAGCAAAGTTGACAGTTATATGTTTTTTTTTCTTTTTAGTTTCTCACCAGAAATGTAGGTTTGACAATTGTCTTGTAAAATGGTTGGTGGCCATAAAACAAGGGACTTCATCAAGGTTTGAAATAAATAACTCCAATTAACTTACACAAATCAGCGCAGGCCAATGTATGGATAGCAACGAACGATTTCTAACTTCCCCTTTGTGAACACTAGAGGGAGCCAACATCACAGTTATGAAGTAACTTTAGTAGTAATAACAGCGCTCTCTCTGGACTCAATCACGTTAATTGTTTTTATGTCAACATCCGTCTGATTTAGTATAGAAAACGGCATCATTTTATTTGTGCTTCTCTATAGACTTCCTTTTAATAATATAATTATATTGTAGTATTTGTCTCGTTATTTGTTATGATCTTGTCGTTTGTTTTAGGAAGAGAACAACTTTACAATGGACGAAGATTAAGAGGAACAAATGCACCAAAACAAAACAAAAACATAAAATGGCGTTAGACAGAACACATAATATTAAAACAAGTTTCTTAGTCACTTTAAAATCAAAGCATGTATTGTGAAAATAATGGTGTTATATTGTAGTTCGGCTACAAAATTCCATCAAATGTTTTGCCTGTTTTGTTTATTATTTTGAAATCCATCGTGTTTTTCGCTGCTTCACTCGTGGATACCTTAAATAAAAAAGCGTTCAGGAGGACTGGGTGGGCAGGCCGTGGTATTAAGTAAAAAGCCCGTCGTGAATTGCGTAAACAGCTCGGGGCGGTGGAAAAAGTTCATGCCCGGGTCCATGTAAGGAGAAACCGGCGGAGCAGCAGGCCACTGCACGGACATATAATTAAGACGACCTGCAGAGGATTACGTCGATACGTCGACTGTAACTTTGCCTCACAATGCCCATTAACAATTTCATGCACAGTCGCCTTTACAGCAGGCGATACAGAGGCCTCGTGGGTCGGCTTGTGTCGATCTTTGATCACAATCGTCTTTTATTTCACACTTCAGCTTTATTATTAATTACGCAGCATTCCGTAAAACACCTAATAAATCTCCAGGGAATTTTGAAAATGAATGGAGTTACATGTGTGTGAAGAATGAAGAGGTATTTTCTTTATTTGGTGACAGAGACAATACATTCTCAGTAGGCCTGCGACATCCCCAACACATATTCAAACATTTTGATGAAAAGCCCCACGTGCGAGGTGCGAGGTGCTCTTCCCATTTGGTTCGCTGGTCTTTTTGTCTTGAATAAACTCTCACACCTCTAGCCCAAACCGTCCTTTAAATTCCCGTTGTAATGAGATCTCACTCAAGCGCCCATTGCCAACGATGCGAAGCTCTGACCTGCTTTGATCTCCCAGTGATCTGCTGCTGGTGTTGAGTCTTTTAACTAATTCAATGCATTTTTTAAAGACGTTAAAACTGGACGTAAACGACGCCAATTTGGTTTATTGGTGTCACTATATTTTCTATTAAAAAAGGAAATAAGTAATGTCACATGGGAGGACCGCCACCATCAGAGAGGACATGATATGCATGCCTTTCATATTGTGTTTTTTTTTGTGAGGAAAAATATAAATGTATGTGATGCTATAACATTTAGATTCATGAGATCTTACATTTCTAATTTGAAAGACAACTCATCTGTTTCTGTTTTCTTAATACCGCGAGAGGTCTGATAGAGGACGTCTTTCTGTCACAAAGTGTGAGGGAATATGCACTCCATGATCTGATCGTGTACATCAGTACGTCTGAAAGTCTTGGCTGCGTTCAGATGGGCTGGGGAGTTACCGACACCTCCTCTCCTTCTAAAAGCCCCGAGTGTGACCAGGAGCTTCCTTGCTCTCCCTGCAACGGCCTCACTTGCCATTGGACGACTCGCGCAGTCTTCTGGGAGGAGCTCCACTGGCAGGAAAGAAACTGCGCAAAAAGTCCTGTGTGGTGACGGATGTGCAAAGTTCAGAACTTTTTCAATTTGAGTTTCGTAGAGACACGGGGATGGGGACGGCTTAAACGCGGCTGAGATCCAGCACGTTGCATTGAAGACTTTCCTCTCTTTTTTTTTTTCCTTTTTCAAGTGAGCAGCGCGGGACTGTGATTTGAGCGCTTCAGCATTCAGAGGAGGGAGAAGTGGAGCTTTCCGTCTGTGTATTTTGGAGCTTTATTTTCGCCGGATCAAAGTGAAGACATGCAGGCTCGCTACTCCGTCTCCAGTCCCAACTCCCTGGGTGTCGTGCCGTACATCAGCAGCGACCCGAGCTACTACCGGGCCGCTGCCGGCGGGGGATACACGGGGATGCCAGCGCCTATGAACATGTACTCTCATGCGGCCCACGACCAATACCCTGCCAGCATGGCCCGGGCGTATGGACCGTACACCCCCCAGCCTCAGCCCAAGGATATGGTCAAACCCCCCTATAGTTACATCGCGCTCATCACCATGGCTATTCAAAACTCGCCTGACAAGAAGGTGACCCTGAATGGGATTTACCAGTTTATCATGGAGAGGTTTCCATTTTACAGAGACAACAAGCAGGGCTGGCAGAACAGCATCAGGCACAATCTGTCGCTGAACGAGTGCTTCGTCAAGGTGCCCCGTGATGACAAAAAGCCCGGCAAGGGCAGCTACTGGACCCTGGACCCGGACTCGTACAACATGTTTGAAAACGGGAGCTTCTTGAGACGGAGGCGACGGTTCAAAAAGAAGGACGTCATGAAAGATAAAGAAGATCGGCTGCAGAAGGACGTGCCGCCGAGGCAGCAAGGCCGCGAGCAGGAGCAGCCGGTGCAGGGCTCCAACCCCGTGAGGATCCAGGATATTAAGACTGAGAACGGGACTGTCACGCCGCCGCAGTCCGACTCGCCCTCTTTGAGCACCGTGCCCAAAATCGAGAGTCCGGACAGCAGCAGCATGTCCAGCGGGAGCCCTCACAGCATCCCCTCCAATAGGTCCATCGGCATGGACAGCTCCGACCACCACCAGCACCACGGCCAGGCCTCGACGCAGGGCTTCAGCGTAGACAACATCATGACCTCCCTCCGGGGGTCTCCACAAGGTGCCACTGAGCTCGCCCCCAGCCTCACCGCGTCCACCAGGACGGGTATAGCACCGTCTTTGTCCTTAAACTATTCTCCAAATCAGACATCCGTCTATAGTTCACCGTGTAACCAAAACTCCATGTCCACTACCTCCAACGCAACCTATCATTGTAACATGCAGGCCATGAGTTTGTACGCGGGGGACAGATCTAGCCACTTGGCGCCGAGCACCACCGTGGACGAAACGTTGCCAGATTACTCGGTCACTACCACCTCATCTTCCATGGCCCACGCTAATCTGAACTCAGTGCAGGAGGGCCACCACCCCCACCAAGGGAGGCTGACCTCATGGTACCTCAATCAGGCCGGAGACCTGGGCCACTTGGGTGCAGCGTACCCAGCGCAGCAGCAGAACTTTCATTCAGTCCGAGAGATGTTTGAATCCCAAAGAATTGGCTTGAATAATTCACCTGTGAATGGGAATAACAGCTGTCAGATGTCGTTCCCACCGAGCCAACCCATCTATCGCACTTCTGGAGCTTTCGTATATGACTGCAGCAAGTTCTGACCCCCCCAAAAATAGGCTCGAATTTTTCCTCACGGTGTGTGATCTCTTCTAGTAAAATCCAACGTGCCCCCCCCCCCCTCCCCCGCCCTCCCCCTCTCACCTGCCCACACCATATGGACTAATGTGAGACAGAAAACAAACAGAAAAACAGAAAAGACTCTATCTTGGTTTTTCTAAAGAACAGTGTTACTGCAAATAACACGTAAGTCTCTCTTTGCTTTTGTGGCTTTCTGTGATATGTTAAGGATATGTCAGTTTTCATGGACGTGTAAATTGCATATAGTAATTTATTTCTAAAAATGTAGCCGGATATTATGGACCAAACACCAAAGAAGTGTTTCTAAATTGAATTGCCTTAATTGTCCAAACCATTGTTCCAATATAAAACGTAAGAAAAGGGAACGTGTATATCGCCGTACTATTTTAAAGATTCTTCATTTGTTGGAAAGTATTCTGAAGGATTTGTTTGTTTGTTTAATAAATTTTCATTTCATGTGAGTTAAAGTTACGCCTCGTTTCTTACAGACTTACAGGCAAGTGATATTTTACATTAAGTCTGGCTCGTGTTAGTCATTAATCTTAACTGACGCTCTGAGATTTAGCTGTTTTTTATGCCGTGCGTTCGTCATAACACGTTTGGACTGTAATCTGCTGCTCTTAAATAATTTTACTGTCACCCAAAAACAATATTTCCCTTGTAGCATTTTGCTTCTCCAAAAAAAACAACTATCTTTGAGAAAACATGAAAAAAATATCGAGGGAAAAGCAAATTTGTATCCCCACGTTCAAAGAGAAAACGCCTGTTATGGATGTATTTATTTAGGTCGTCTAACATTCAAAATATCATGCACTATTTGTGTTTTTTTTGTCATATTATACATGATTATGGCTTTATACGAGATAATTGAGATGCTGTTGACCCGAGGCCTAGACCAGCCTGCACACAGCACAACTTTGTTTTGGATTGCGATGTGTGTTTACTGGCGCATACCAGTGCTTACTTAATATCATACCACACATGCCAAAGATAGTCCCGTTGTCACTTCAGTTTTGACGTTTGAATACTCACCGGTCTGATGTGACGCAGACGTGAATGGAGACAACCACCGTCAGGTTTTATCATTCTGACACATTCTAGTTTTTCAGAGTGGGCATTTAATTGCAAGAATTAGTATTTATTAAATCGGCCTTTTATTCAAAATGTCAGATTGATGTTTATTGTAATTGGCAGTTTTCCCCTACAGGTTCCTTCAGTGACATTAATGAATGGGAATCGATTTATTTTAATTACGTTAAATGGAAATCATGACTTACTTCAAAATAGGCATTCATTTAGTGCTATACGCATATGAATGGAAATTGTTTCATTTAATACACGTCTCAAGCCAACAATCAAAGTAGGTTTTTTTCCTATCTATCTTATATTCTTTTTGTATTTAATGGATTTCAAATATTTATCAAGTACAGAAAGATATTTTTTTATATGCCAATAATATATACAGCATGTAAAAATACATTGAAATAGTTTTTTGATTGGTGCGTGACGTGTGCGCAAAATTGCGCATGGCTACAGACCATCTTGAAGATGGTAAAAAGACAACGTCAATAATAATTATAATATTTTGGCTATAATAAAATAACAATAATAATAATGTTACTACTAGTAGTAGCAATAATAAAAATAATAAACATAAGTGACGATAAAAACATTTGATAAAACATTGTGAAATAATAATACCAATAATAAAAGTTTGCACATTTAAATTCCAAAAGCGAGCTTCTTGAATTTTTAACAAAAGTCGTATTAACTTTTTGAGAGCAATACGAGATACTTTTTGCATCTTTTCAGTGCAAGGCAACATGTCCTCTGACAGATGCCAAGTCATAACCCAGCCCAGAACAAGTAGCATATCAAACTTCAATATGTAAAGTGCGATTCTGAGAGAGGTTTCTGAAAAATAGAAGGCTTATTCCTCATATCCTTTTCGGCAGCTTCAGGCTTTTATAGACCAACAAGACACATCAAAACAAAACATCTTGAGCGCACTGTAGCTGGAGGCCACGTGCATATCTCAGACTATAGACCTCATAGGCATGTTGTACACGTGTGAACAACGACAACAAAGAACAAAGAACAAAAAGAATATTCATGAATTGTTCGGTTTCGCCAAAACGAAATGCTGCTCTTATTTCTCTCTCAGCTCCCCGATTGCACCAACTGTAATCAGGCTCATAAAAGTCATTACACATACGTTCCCAAGTTGAGGCCTAATAAACAAACGTCGTGTTAGTCAAAAGATTGATTGCGCCCTCACAAAATAGACCAGGTCAGGAAGGAATAAAATTCAATCAGAGAGCTGGAATCGTTTTTCATGAGACGGAAAAGGCAGAGAGGGAGACGGGGGTCAATGAGGAGGATGTCGGCCGCCAGAGCACCATCAACAATATAACCGGACATGGCACACACACAGACAGACAAGGAGAGACAGGGAGCTTATGGTTTGGTGAGACTCCTTAACATTTTAGTATACGGTTTGTAAAAGTTTTCATAAATAAAGGTCCAACAGACATATGCAGAAAAGGGTGGATTTTAACTTGTACTTTTGGCACTGATAATGAACTGATACTGTAATTAACAATGAGCCTGTGTTTTCCTACGTGGGGCCTGGGGGCCCTCATCCTGTCCCGAAGGGTCCCACAGCAAACTGTACAAACTTAATTTCACTTTCATTTCCCTTCTCAGAAGGAGTGGAAAGGTTGTCTATATTTCCTGTAACAGTTATGCCCCCACAGACGGTTGTGGTTGCTATTTCTCTCTCTCTCTTCTTTTTTTTTCAAACAACTCAAATCAGATGTTACTCAGGGCTAAATCTCACTAAACAGGGTCCCCTGTCTGTTTGGGGCTCCTTAACAGAATACATTTGGGGACCCCTGTTTCACTCTGCGTTTTCCTGAAACTCTCCGCTACATTCCTGAAAATGCACAACTCCCCTCATTGCTCTGCGCCAAATAACAAAGAAAAAAAGCGCCTATGTTGGCCAAATATATATATCTAACAAATCAAATCGGTACATTTGTTACATCATGGGTTTAAATGCAGATACGAAATTAATTCAAAATATCTTCGTTTTTTGTTGTTGTTGTTGTTTTGTAGCCAACCTCATTATTAAGATGAAGTAGGCGTATTTATACGAAAAATACAGATCCAAACCATCTAATCATGTAATCTGAAGTTGACGTGACACACTCGAGTGCCAGTAGGTGAGATGGACAGTGTGTCAGTCTGCTTGTTTGGAAGTCAGGTCAAAGTTCGAGAAACGCACATAAAAAGAACACATTGTTTTTGAAGACAGCCTGCATGAAACGTCCACTAAATGTATAATTATCTCATCAATGATTATAAAGAGAAGAGCCGTGATGTGTATTTTGACTCCTTTGTTGTAGGTAACAATCATGTCAGCTGATGATGCACAAATCAAATGTAAAACTACGATTTACAACCTTCAGTTTTGACGCCATTATTACCTTGTAACAATAGACCGGAATTCAATATCGGTATTGTTGTTATTATTATTATTGTTGAAGTGTTGAAGCAAACGATTATGTAGTTATTTATTTGATAGAAGTTTTAGATGTATATGGTTGTTTATGACAGCACAGTAGTAGACGAGATGAAACATCGATATAAATGACCTGGAGCCCTGCAGACAGTGTGCACCTGTACTGCTGAGTTAAAGGGCTCAGCTCACAATGGAAAATGCTTTGTTTTAACTCTCGGTTAGTGTACAAGACCCGAGCTCCACGCGCCATCTGTTTCTAATTAGGAGTCCATAGACGCAAATTCTGTCTGCACTGCGGCCAAACGAGTGAAAGGTTGGAGGTCCAACACTTGTCTCTCATAAGGGAAAATAGCTTCTTATGTCTCATATTATAGACACATTAGAGTTTTCTAAAGAAATTATTCACTCGGCTTTGTACAAACAGGCAGAGCGACGAGGTGTAAACAAGGCTTCTGGATGAAATAATGATCTTGAAATTGTGCAGCATATTCAAGTCATAAGAATAAAGTCGCGCAGACCCGGTGAGCGCTGGGCGGTGGGATAATGGGGTACTGTGGATTCAGACCGACGGGAACCGGCCGACCTGCGAGTAACCCGACAGCCTTGGCGAGATACCTTAAAAACGAACAGAGCTGCCTTCAAGTTACACAAAACCTGCCTTTCTGCTGCTCGTGCCTGCGATTACTAATAATAGCATCTTTTTTAGGCAGCGAGCACTTGAATGCACCAATTATACAGCATGGCATACAGTATTTATGATCAAGCGTTAATGTTATGAATATATATTTTTAAGGTCTCATTCTCGATGACGTTAATTAACAACCTTTTTTTTAATCCGAATGGTCAGGGTGGAAAAAAACTTCTTCATCTTGATTATTAATTTAGATTTTTTGTAATTTCTTAATAACTATATTGATTGAATCTCTCGAATTTATTAAATTATATCAAAACAGGCGTGTGAGGTAATTCATGTACTTTATTAGTACATTCCATAAACAAATGTGTTAACCGAAATAACGATTTGCTCTTCAGTGGATTTTAAGCACCAATCAATATTCTTTTTTTACTTTTGTAAAACACATGGCTTCTGGCTCATAGTAAAATAAACATTACAATTATGTGAATTAGAGTTGAATAAAACAATTCAATAGTACTAAGCTATAACAGTGATTGTATGTGTTTTGTCTGGTCAGTTGTACTGCTGAATATAGGTACGTAAATTGCAACTTAGCACAATAAATAAACAGGGCTAATGTACATAATACATTTTAATCACAGCTTAACGTGGGTTTATAGGAGTAAAAGGTCCCTGATAGCAGGGAGCAAACGGAACAAATTTGATCTCTGTAACTTGGGACATGAGAGGGCCACTTCAAAGCTGCCCAACTGCTGCTATTTGAGCCACAGTAGCAGTTGTCTGCATCTTTCGCGGGTCTCATCTCATTTTATGGTGCCACTGGGCTATGAAAACATCAACAGCAGACTCGCTGTAAGACTGAGGAAAGAAGCTGCATAGTT